TTTTTGGTGTATATTAGTATTCTGTATTTTATCACTTAAGAATATAATCATTCTAACCGGTGAAAACTGACTAACTCAACATGACCTAATAATTAAAAAAGTTACATGGGTCATGTCGTGTCACCCATGTACCAAATAGATTGTTTCAGGGTGAAAGATTTTGACACAATTGGTTAATCATGAGGTGTAGGGATTGACCTATTTATCAGGATACCCAAACTTCAACATGACACAAATCACTTATTAAGACACTTGCAAACTTAGTTTTCACACAATAAAATAAATAAATTCAGGACTGAAGACATCTATGAGATAACCACTGGCTGTTATCTTAAGTCTCTTCCCAGCCTCATTGGAGAAGTGCAGGGTTCAAATCCTGTTTGGACGTGGTAGCATGTGTAATACTTGTCATAAAAAAACAAAGCAAAAGAAAGAAAGGGTAAGCTGACTCACTGGCTTACTGGACGCTGATGATCGAGCTCGTTGTATGGATCAATCACTATTCCATGCACCCCATGTCTTAAGACTGCAGCCTTTGCAAGCCCAAGAACCCATTTTATACTTGGAAGGCTATCATTCTCACACCTGTTCCATAACCCATTGCTTACAAAATTTGCAACCCTAAGAAGGCATGAAATGAAAATTAAACAAACCACAAGCCACATGCAGGCTAATTCAAAGTAGCAATAAGGTGGATAAACCTCAGCAACCAACAGCATCAAAAACAATCCTCACACACCGCTTCGTATAAATGAAATAACAATGAGAACTAGAAATGGAGGAACTATGAAGCACGGATACGGATACGGGATACAGGTATAATACGATACGGATACGAAAAAATCTAAAAAAGTAGAATATAGTACGGGCAAGATACAGCTATAAATATTATTTTCAACCAACGTAACACTTTTATATTTTGGTAGTTCTTCAACATATAATAAGAAAAATTAGTAATTCTTTTTTAATCAAGAAAATATAAAACGTGTCGCCGTGGTATATTCACAAAGTGAAATGACTAATTAAAGGAATCAAAGTTAATATTTACCTAGTATTTATAAGTTATTTTTGCTAAAATTATAATATAATAGCTTTATTTTATACTCTTTTGACATGTAATTGCAAATAATACTTAAAAAATTCATGTGCCTTTGAAGTAATATGAAATTTTGGTTACTTTATTGTATAGTATGTGAATTCGAAAAGAGATATTAAAAGTTCAACTAACAAATTATATATGTTGTTCTACTACAAAAGTATCCGTGAAGGACCCTAATATTTAATTATTATCGAATACGTAGAAGGTGTATCTGATACGTATCCTCGAGTATCCGACAAATAGCATATCCGATACAGGTACATCAACTTCAACGAAGTATCTGTGCTTCATAGGAGAGAAGAAATATAATAACAAATAGTATACTACAATGTGCACAAGTTACTCCATTCTAATTGGGCAAAATATCTCAAGTCAACTTGAATAAGAGGGATCATGTTCTCCAATCATGATCACTTGAAGCTAGACATCCTGACTCAGACGAGGCAAGTTCAGTGGATGGAAGATGATCTAATTCAGCCTACTGCATATATTTAATCTTGTCAATTAAGATAGCAAAAAACATGCAATGGTAGCTAGGTCTAGTGTTGTGATTGAATACACAACGACGACTCATGGAATTTATAAGCTTAGGTGGTTCCAAATCTTGCTAGGAGAGCTAGGAATTCATGATAATGGACTTATAAGCCTACATCGTGATTCCTCAAGCAAGGCAACTGGTAAGTTATTGAAGGGTTTGTTTGAATAATGAAATGACAAACATTAATCATTTTAAAGTGTCCAACGGTGATATAATATATTCTCAAGAGAATGATGCAAGAACCCGCAATGAAAAAATAAGGAGATATTTCTATATCAAAATATCAATTGAAGAAATAATAGGCAAATTCTTAGATCACCATTAAGAATGTAGACAAAAACCAAAACAGAATGGTTCCTAATACTGAAAACTAAGAGCGATGCCACCTACTACCAAAACCACGATTTTTAAAATAGTCAGGTTCTTCCATGCAAAAAGGCGACTTCGAAAGAATAAATAAGTTTGTATCCGAAAAAGTATGCTTAGGAAGTTCTTTTGCTAAGCACAACTTAATAATAAGGCCACGACCAATATTACAGATGATATAGTTTAGGAAGCTAGAACCAATAATGTTGAGATTGACTCAAAGATTAATATTTTGTTTCGGTATATTGTTTCGGTCACCTAGGAAACAGAAGTATTTCGATGTGTTTCGGAAACATTTCAACCTGTTTCAAAAATAGAATGAAAAACATAAAAAATTTAAAAAAAAATTTCTCAAAATATTAGTCAAAATATACTAAAATATCTTGAAATACTTTGAAACATTCCAAAATAATTGTACAAATACACTGAAATATAATATTTCGAAATATTATAGAATACCTCGAAGTATTAGAATTTCAATTCCATCACTGATTCGTTTCAGTCTCCTTGAAAACGGAAACTTTCGAACGTTTTGACTGTTTCGAAGCGATATTTTGATCCAACACTTCATTATGAAAAATCTAAATTCTAAACCATGATTTGATTTGCATGCCCTTTGTGTTGGCCGATGTATTCAACTGAGGACAAGATGTTTAATATATAGCTTGCAAATTCGGCAAGAGGGATGTCTATGCAGTAATTCGAGAGGTGTTGCGTTTATGTGTAAGCGGGGGTTTAGTTTTGAGACCTAACCCACTACCCTTCACATAGTCTTTTCTCTCTTATTTCTTTTTCTGTTCTCCAAGTGTCTTTCTCCTTCTCTAAATCTTAAAACTTTTCAATTAAACTTACATAGTTATCAAATCGTGCATCGAAAGGCGTATCATTTTTTTAAACTAGTGTGTCGTATCGTATCGTATATTGTGTATCGTAAGATACGCGTAATTTTAATTTTTAAATAATTATTAATAAAATATATGTATATATCTTTAAAAAAAAGTCATAGACTCATAATAATATAGTATTTCATTATTATTCTACCAACTGTTCAAGTTTCCAACATAGTTCAGTAATATCAAAATGCAAAGACCTCTAATTCAAACTTCTAACATCAATTGCTTGAACAACTTTAATATTAATCAGGAATTTTGAATTCAATTAAACAACATTAACATTAGACTTTATTTATTTTTTTTAAACAATAACCACAGAAATGATGTCGTTTCACTATGTAGTAATTTAAAAATAAGTCCTACGGTAAAACAATGTCATTTTAACTCCAAAAAACAAAAAAATTAAAAATTAAAAAACAGAATCGTCACTTATCGTACGTATCAGGCTTACCATATTGTGCATATCGTGTATCGTACGATACGGTGCAAAAAACAATACGGAAACACGATACGTATCGTTTTTCAAGTGTATCGTACGATACATATCGTGCAATACGTATCACGTATCGTACGATACTAATAACTATGCTAACTTATACCCAAAGTGAAGGTAACCATGGTGGAAAGATTTCAATTTCTCATTATCGAATGCTTTATTTCAATATTTTCTTCCTTATTCCTCTCTAAGTAGGTTGACCCTATGAGCTTTGTCTAAATCTATAATCTATGGGGACGACTAGTTTAAAATTAGATTGATTTGATTAAAGAGAACAAACTCCCACCTTTCCAATGAACAAGGATTCCCTTCTTGCTTTTCTTACCCATTTCTACTCAGCTTTCAAATACAAATCCCAAGCGAGTTGGAAAAGAAAGAAAAATTTCTAAGCAAGTCAAAACAATGCTGCCATATCAAGGCTAATTACAAGGAAACTACTCGCCTTATTTAAAATTACACTGCATTCCTTTCTAGTTCAATTGTGCTTTGCAGATGCCTATCATGTCACGAAGAACTGTTAGTGTCAAATAAATTAGGGGATGATTACATAATAAGCCTACAATATTCTCATTTTTAATTATCCTGGGCATTGTTATCCACCCCTCCCTAGAATTTAACTTCTCTTATTCATCTTACTTCAAACACAACCATCCACCACCATGTCCAATTAAAATAAGAAAATCAAATTGGATAAACAAAACAATTTCTCTTAGGATTAAAATCAAATCAGTGTAAGAGAAGATTTCATTAGGAAATAACTAGTTTATGTTATGCAGGAAATAAAATACCGAAAATGTATGCCACAGGTTTTGGTGAATTATAACAGAATTACAAGATATTGTATGCAATATGTTTTGAATTGTTAGATCCTAAAACCAAATTGTAAATTGACAAATACACCATCATTTCCTAACATTTTCTTGTCATGGAAAATTGAGCATAGTTTTGTGAAATGGAAGTTGCATGTGTCCTTATACGATTGATAATGACGTAGTATTGCAAGACAACCGTACATCAAGTACTATTCTGTGCACTGTGTAATATAAAGGTATATATGCTATTTAAGTGAAGGAAATACCTTTTTGGGATTTATTAAAACTTGTGTATTATGACATTTAATTAAAGGGGAGGGCTTGTTTGGGATAGTACTAATAAGTATGGCGGCATAACTAATGGATTTAAACAAAGGGTAACAAGAGGGAGAACTCACTAATTATTTTTGTGGTCAAGAGAGGATTTTGTACATATCCAAACATGAATGAGGAATTTGCTATTTGATTGAAAAATTAGGAGGTAAATTGGGGTTGAACCTTACTATTTATAGTACCTTGGAGAAACAGAAGTATGGGGTCAAGAAAACTACAATGATTTTTCTGATAATGATGACATCATCGCTAATGGATTTCAACAAACGTGACAAGAGGGGAGATTTCACTAATTATTTTGGCAGCCAAAGAGGTTATTGTGTATGTTCAAGCATGAAGGAGGACTCTCGCCGTTTGATTGAAACCTTAGGAGGTATGTTTCTGTTTAACCATTATATTTATAACATCTTTTAGAAATCAGAAGTAGGGTTCAACATAATTGAATTAAAGATGTTACCTTGGCTTCAAGCAACAATTATTTTATTAAGACAAGACCACAACCTCAAGTTTAATTGCTCCAAGCAAAAGCAGCTTTTTACAAGACAAATTGCATTCCAGATCATTATTCCAGTGAAATCAATTTAAGTTACCAAGGACAGGCAAAAGCCCGTAAATCTATAGCTTTGATATTCAACCATAAACAAACAAACAAAAAATAGTCTTGATGGTGCATAATAGGTTCAGAGTCTCACTGCATCATTAGCATAAGATGAATTACAGAATGGGACCATATTATTATAGTTTTACAGCACGAAGAATGCCCATGGAAATATTTTTATCAAAACCATGCCAACTCAAAAAAATTTTAACTTACCGTATGAGATAGAAAGTATCACTTAACCACTGCTTTCCTCGCTCTAAATCCTCAACACTCATCCGTTCGACAGATTCTCCATATCTATGATTATCCAGGATAAGCAAAAACAAATATATCAGTCATAACAAGCACAGTTGGAGTACTGATGCTACACCAGAATGGAAGCTTCCTACGATGGGATTTGTTGAGCATGACAATTGTGGAAGCATGGCAGTGAGTTACAGCACTGATGTTATAGGTTTAATTTGGCATGTTGCAAGGTTTTGAACACACTAGTGAGGTTTATTTTTTCTAGGCAAATTGCAGTCTCTATATGGTTCACATATTCATCAACAAAGACAGTTCAATTCATGTAAGACTTCAGACTTCCGTAGATGACAACAAATACGTTCATTGCTTGATGGCTACCTATACTGAATCATATGAAAATAAAGCAGGCATGTGGTGCATGAGATGAGTATCGAATCAAAAACAGGAACAATGAGGAGGTTTTCCCAAGAACGTAATCAAGTTATGTAATGACAGCATATGCACACCAGGCGGAATTTGATTATGTCCATATACAGTCAGTTTTCTATGAGTAACTGTGGGGGGCTCCCAAGGATGGAGAGAAATAGCTGTACAACAGGGTGGTGAGATTAGGCTGCTTTGTGTTCAATTTGATGTTTTCCACTCTCTCCAGGATTTTCCAAATCTAAGTGAACTGGTTTCTCTAACCTTTGTTTCAAAGGTTATATCATCACATATTACATAAATATGCTATACCACCCTCTTCCACTCAATAACCAGACCAGAGTCCTAAATTAATTGAGGAAGCAAGCAAGGGGCTTTATGCCACTCTATTGTGGTATATCCGTGAAACGTCTCCCACATAAAAATGGAAACAACAGAAATCCCAAATGAAAATACTCAACAACTACTCCTAAACAAACCTACCTCACATCAAAGAAAGGTTTCTTTATATGTTTCTCCAAAAGCTTCCTAGCATGATCCCGAACCTACAAATCAGCAGAATGAATGTGATTGGCATAATAGAAACAGGTTTCTAAGGTATTTCAATCCTTGATTCTAACAATATGCACGACAACATCCACTGTCTGGATTAGTTAACAACAATCACAAAACATAATTTCCAAGGTGAAAAAGTCAATAGTAGTTTTAGAGCATAACATTTATGAGAAACACATAGCTGATGACATGTGAAGACTTCTCCACGTTGGCAATCGCCAATCAACATGTCAGAAAGAACTTGTCTCACAGTTTTCAACACTTGGTCAATTCTGTAAACTAAAAGAATATGCAAAGTCAAAAATGCAACGTAAATGTCCACGCCCTATAGTTCTTCCACACAAATTCAATCCCCAAGGAAAAAAAGTAAAAGCATAGATAATAAAAATATAACACAACAGATGTCAATTTCTACCTGATAGCGCACTTTAGATCCTCTACGTACATATTCATGCATTATTTGTAGAACTCAACTAAGCTCAACAAAGCTATTATACCCAATTATTTGGGGTATTTCCCCATTATACTCTATCAAGGACCAATGAGCTATATTTTTTTTTTACGATTTCGTTCGAAGTTACTTTCAGTCTACCTCTACCTCTTGCAATATAATTGAGATGTTTTAAATCACTCTTCCTCATTGGTGTATTATTAAGTCTTCTTTCTATAAACATATCCATACAATCCAAGTCAAATCTCTTAATTTGTCTCTTATTGATGTCACTTCTACCGTTTTACTTAGTTTTATCTTTTCTTGTTTTACCACAGCTATCTTAACATCATTATTTCTGCAACACTTAGTTTTTGAACATCATGTTTCCTAATTGCCCTACAGTTTGTATTGTAAAGCAAACATGCCAGAAAATGAACTCTTCATTTAGCCCACCCTGTTTTAATTCTATGATTCACACCGTTTCCAATCTCTCCCTTCCTATGGATAATCCACCCCAAAATCGCTCTTTTAGTAAGTAAGTAAAACAATCCCCTCGGAATAAAAAATTTGATTGTGTTCTTGTGGCAAGCAGCCAATTCTAGAGGGTAAAGTGAGGATTATCTGTATGGCCACCCTTTATGAATTCCATCTTTGAAGTACACACTGGCTGCAGGCTGGCAACAGTAAGCTAAACCAGGAGCATATGCTTAGTAGGTTATCAACTACAAAGTCCCGCCAATCTTTGATAACTGATGCCCAAAGAGAAGCCAAGAACTTGACTCTTTCCCAAACTAACCCCCCTAACTCATCTCTTACATCAAAAATTCTAGCAATGATTTCAATCCAGCAATTTCGTATAAAAAATTCTACAATTTTGTGTTCAGCAAAACAAGAATGCAGTTGAGATTAATAGGGGGTTAGCGTTGTGGCTTTCTCTTGCAGTTCTGTTTACTTTCCTTATTGTGTAATGGTTAGATTTCGTAACCACCTTGTCTGGAATTTCTTCAAGTTAATAACATCATGTTTCTTGTCACCCAAAAAAAAAAAAAAAAAAAAGTGGGTTACCAACTGGGCATATAAAGCTGTTCAAAGGAAACTGGGCACAGAAAGAAGCTCTATCAGGAGACTCCAGACTTATTTGAGCTTTTTGACAGCCATGCTCAAGGGAATTAAAATACATAAATGGATCAAGGATTAATTACAACCCACTAATTGAGGCAAGAGGAAGTTTCCACCAAGGTCAATTGGGACACTAAAGTAGAAATAAATGAAAGCACTACACGTGATGTGTGGCAAATACAGACATATCTAGTCATCTCTCTGTGACCACATTTTAAGAATTTCTTGTATCAGATACCCTGTCCATGAGTTGAATCATTAGCTATAAATCTTGGCATACTGCACAACATTTACCAACATGCATTCAATTGAATTCGAAGTATTTCCAATGCAACTAAGACGTAAGGAATTAAATAATAAAGGAAACATAAGAAGCAGCATACAGATTGTCTGGGGTACCTAGGCTACATGCAATGTTATTTGTACTTATTTTTTTTCCTGTCATAGAAGGTAAAAGAATGTTACTTGTACTTCTTTAGGCCATTACTTTGTGTTTGTCCCCTTACTTTTGAGACAGTGAGAGGAGTGAAAGGGTAGCATAACCACTGCCCAGTAGCTAGACATTCCCAAACATCATCATAACGTCTCCACTCATAGGTATATGCCAAAGCATTCTCCATCCCAACCTCCACTAACAAAAAGGGGAAAAAAGGAATATTGGATGAAGTAAACATATGATGATGATAGTATGCCTTTATACTAACATTTGAACTAAAACAAAGCTTTGGACTAACAACCATAGCTTATGAATCAGAGACATAGATTATGAATCAGATACATAGATTATAGATCAGATAATAAGCATGATCAACATGCAAAGTATTCAAGGTGACAAGTTGCATCACTACACAACAATATCAAGCATACTTGGGCACATTCAACTCTGTTACAAACAACAAAGCACTAGAGTAAGAACCCAACAGTATCAGCCATGGACCAAGGGGGTAAAAGAAAAAGAGAAAAAAAACGTACTTCTTCATTAAACCTAACACATATGAATTAAGAACACCTCAATGAATATTCTATCATGCTGGCTTGTAATCATGATTCTCGAGTTCCCACTGCAATCCAATTAAAGGGGTGAAAGATGGGCAGTAAAAAGATACTCCATCGTCCTATAGACTGTACCAGCAAATCTGTTTATCCCATAGAGCTATCCTGCTATTAGAAGCCAAAGCATCAAGCATATTCAATTGCCCACACAATCCCTTTGATGCAAAGTATGCAAACAAGAGAGGGGGAGAACACAAGAGACATCATAAATCTAACCTCGGAAATGAATAGATTTCAGTCTATGCTGGTTGTAAGTTGGTACCATGCTGGTCTATTCTCTTATCAAATTTTAGTTGATAAGAGAATTATAGGAGTTTCAAGATTTTCTAGACATGAGTTGTTGCCACGATCAATAGGTCGAATGAGTCAATTGACGTCATTTGGGTCTAATATGGAGTCTTTAGAGGTCTAGAATAGTCTTAGTCAAAGAGTAAATTTTTTTCCTGTGACCCATTAGCCCATAAGTATCGTGACGAAGCGACTATTGCTCACCCGACACAATCGTACGAGGTCACAATTCACCCAACACGATCATCCGGGGTGAACAAGAATTGAGAATCGGATGCCGGCGAAATTCTCTCCAATGGCTGAGATGTTCAGTCGACTCCCCCCTTCCTATTCAGAACCCCAAAAATACTTTTTTTTTAAATGGAACTTTTTTCGAGTCAAATCAATTCAAATTACTCTAATGTTTTATTACTTATTTGTTTGTTGCACAAAAAAACTTTTTGAATTTCCACTCAAAAGAGATTTCCCTAACGAAAAAGTTTTTAACGTTGCCCATTATCCCTTCCGTTTCCAAATATTTTTACGAATATGCTTTTTCAATATAGAAGTATGCTTTTTTTTTTGGAATCTTTTACCGATGAGAAAAAACTAAAAAAAAAAATTAGTGCATTTAGGATGGGAAACTGAACCTAAATCAGAGCTAGTCCCCAGAAGTCTTTATGGCACAAACAAAACCCGCAAATTCTACCTGATTTGCCTCCTATTTACTATCCAATATTGTTGACCACAAACACAAAGGGCTTTCCATGGGCCAGGCCAATCAAAATAAGAGCATCCTGATGCTCTTGGTCTGGTTGGGCCGGACTCAAGGCCAGGATATACTGACCAGACCCTGTACCAAGGCCCACTACTTTTTGTTTTAAAATGTTTGTAAATTTAACAAATACTTTTTATACATAGAAATTATTCTAAAAACTAAGTAAATAAAAGGTAAATAAAATAAAGTAATTTTATTCAAAAGCTATTGTTCAGACCAGTCCGAGCCAATCACCACCTCTGGCTCAAGCCCATGCCCTAGCTCCGTACTAGGCCCAAGCCCTCCCCATTGGCCAACAAATTGGGGCAGTTACTATATTATCCAAACCAAGCCACAGGCGACATGACCAACCCATCAAACCCACGGTCTGAGCTGCACACACACGCACGCACACACACATATATATGAATGAACATACACATACATACATCCATACACACAAACATATAAATGCACACATGTATATATAAGGAGAGAAGAAAATTTAATAAGACACCTATAAAATGAGCATTTATAAAAAAGAAAATAGGGTACATTACATTCACATCCTATGGGTTTTGAAAAAGTACAGGAGACCTCTTAAATTGTCACACATGACACATGGATCCCCCGAGTTTTTGAGTTTTTAAGTGTTGTAACAGAGACACTCCTTCCAAGATAAAATCCGCAACAATTAAGCTTAAAATTCATATTTGTCCCTGCTTTCATTGATTTGCTAATAAAGGAGGATAAATTGGTCATTTCATTAACAACTACTATTAATACGTATGAACTATGATATATATAAGTCATCTCTGGATTGCCAATGTGTAGTCATATTGTTTCACAAAACTCAAGAGATGTCAGTAAAACTTACCCAGATACATAAAATCCGTCAAAAGATACTTTTTATTGTGAAATTACCAGAAAGGCTACCACACACAAACGTAAATGAACATGATGAAAAATTCATGTTAAGATCTAGTTCCACCAATACTAATAAGAAAGTGATATTGGTAAAACCCACTTTATCACCCCCCCCCCAAAAAAAAAAAAAAGTGTCCGTTGATTTTTGTACCGCAATATGTCAAGTCAAAACCAAAATGGAACATCTGTAACACTACACTTCATTCTTCAGCCATAGGATTTTTGAATCAGGAAAAAAAAAAGATTTCAAATCAACATAAATCTTTTAATAGGCCATGCCAACAGTGTCCACTTAGCAACAAGCCAAAAACAAAAGGCTCCAAGAAAAAAAGATCACATGCAAACTTGGATTCACTGTGAGGTGGCATACCTTGTTCTCCATCGAGCAAAGTGCAAATTTCCAACCAACCCTTTCATTAAGATTGCATAAAAGTGCATCAATCCACTCACTCTTGCCTGAATTTGGCACTCCAGTTACTATGGTCAGCTCTCCTGGCACAACCTGATCAAAAGACGGCAAAAAAGCGTTCAACAAATCCACCCTCCTATCGATTGTCATAATTGATTCTAAACTGCTACCGGATTTTTTTAACTATCTCACACAAAGTTAATTTTATTTTACCGTTACCCCTTGCATTATCGTCCATTCGCATCGCTCCTTATATTTTCTGCTCAACGACCAGTGTGTTTGTTTAATACTTTGTGCTTGCAAAACATTAAAAGTTTTGTCCAGGGAGAATAAGATCAATACATCCATAACAGGTTCAGTCTGTCACTCATGAACTCCTTGGTAAACTAGTCTATACATTTAAATAAGTTAAAATAGAACAGTTGATTTCATGAAATTTAGACTTCATTATTCGTACACAAAGAGAGAAAGAGAGAGAGAACAACTACTACTACCAAAAATGTATGACATAATATAGAAGCAATAAGCTAAACGGAGCAGACTTTCTCGCCATTCCAAATCTTCAATATTAAAGACAAGAACCTACGTTTTGAGCCACAAAACCAAAAACAGAAAAAAAGTCTAGTTGATATACTTCTTCTGAGTGATAATTGTTAGCATTAACAAGGATCAAAATTTCGTTCTGACACATTGTTTCGGTCATCTAGGAAACGAAAATATTTCGACGTGTTTTAGAAACATTTTGACCGGTTTCGAAAATAGAATGAAAAAAAATTAAAAAATTAAAAATTATTTTTTCAAATCATTTGTCGAAATATACCAAAGTATTTTAAAATATTTTGAAGCATTACAAAACAATTGTGAAAATGCGTTAAAATATTATAAAACATCTCAAAATATTATGGAACACCTCAAAATATTAGAATTTCGATTCCGTCACTGATTCGTTTCGGTCTCCTTGAAAACGGAAATATTTCAGACGTTGCGACCATTTCAAAACGAAATTTTGATCCTTGAGCATTAGCTCATTCTTCTCGTCAAACAATTTTATTATTTCTAGACCGCCCAGGTCTATAGCATCCTTGTATCTTGACGTGAAGTAGGAAAATTTTCAAACAATGGGTCACATTATCCCGTGTACTAACGAAATTCCGATAGGACTATTGTAACACCCCCCCCACTACCCAGCAAGATATTGTCCTCTTTGGCACAGGGTCACGGAACACTGTTCTCCTCCCCTGCCCTCAAGGGTTTGTTCCTCCCAGGGGTTCCCTGGGAAAAGGCCTCTTGCAAGGTAAGGGCTGAAGGCTTACTTATAAGCCCAGCAACTCCCCTCTCCGTAACCGATGTGGGATACCAGGATCTCACAATCCACCCCCCTCAGGGCTGCACGTCCCCGTGCAGCTAGGTCACGGACTACCGTTCTCCTCCCTCCTACACGCTGACCCGTGCAGGGCCCCACACTCGGCACCGCCAAGGGGTCGGCTCTGATACCATTTGTAACACCCCCCCCACTACCCAGCAAGATATTGTCCTCTTTGGCACAGGGTCACGGAACACTGTTCTCCTCCCCTGCCCTCAAGGGTTTGTTCCTCCCAGGGGTTCCCTGGGAGGAACAAACCCTTGAGAGCAGGGGAGGAGAACGGTGTTCCGTGACCCTGTGCCAAATAGGACAATATCTTGCTGGGTAGTGGGGGGGGTGTTACAACTATGACATAAAACAGCTAGAGCTATATGCTGGTAGTACAATCAGGATATATCCCCAGACAGTAACAACCGGATCTTGCCGCATGTCATTATGTTCCATACCAAAAGATAGTGAAATATAAAAAAAAAATTCATCAACATGCCCTACAAGTACTCCTGGGAGGAATTCAACCTCAGCTGATTCCAGCCTAACATACTTCATGGTCTAAAGCCTTGGCCAATGGACTACCACCACAGATCTGCACTAAAACACATCATGGAGCAAACACAAAAGCTTATATCAATGGGCAATGTGCGTGGGCAGTTATTACAACTTTGATTCATGCTAGAGTTTCCTTTCACCTTTTACAAAGTAATTTGGATTGGTTTTGCTATTTTCAAAAAAATTTTGAGATTTTTGGGTCAAGTTTTTAGATATGTCAATTTCGGACAATCTGAGTTCTTTTTATGCTTTAATCCTCACCAAAGGGGTGCAACTAGGGATGAGGAGTTGTAATCTGAGATGCCCAGCCCTGTTTGGGCTTTCTGTGTGATTGCGGAAAAAATCCATAGTCATGACTCAAAGTTGCCAACTGGATGATCTTTCTGGCTCTGTTCTGGTTGCCTCCTTGCTTCTAGGTGGTGACCTGAGATACCCATACATATTTGGGTGTTTTCTGTGCGTGATTGAAATCAGTATTCGGCACCCATGACAGTATTGTTGGTCAGGGTTCTAGTTGTTTTCTACTATTGTAGTTGTTTTTTGGCATCTAGGTATTAGGTTTGGGTATTTTATTGGTATTCTCCAATTTGCCTACTGTGATTGCTAATTATTGATTGGCTATTGGTTTGTTTGTTCATGATTTTCTGTATAATTGATTGTAGATTTGTCAATGACATCCTCAGATGATGTCAAAGGTTGAAAACTAGATAGATCCCTTCCACGATGGCAGCAATTGCTACTCCTGATTTCATGGCAAAAGTTTTGGTACATGCAGAATGGAAAGTCATTTAACTAATAATAATAGTCATTCTCAGACTCCAAAGAATATGAAGATTGCTTTGAGTGAGAATTCTTAGCTTAGTACTGAATCGTATGTAGCCTTCAATATTCAGCTCCTTCACATAGCAAAGAAGACATGGGACTCACTTGAGAAGATGTATACAGAAGAACATAATGTATCGTGGACCTATGAGTTTTTTGAGTATATGTTTAATACAAAACAAGGTGATATATCTCCGGTTGCGCATTAGGGTGTTTTGAAAGATTTGTGAGAAGAACTTATACATTATCAACCATTGAACAGGGATTTAAAGATACAGTGACGGTAGCATGAAGTGTTTTAGGTTGCTTCGTTATTGTCCAGCCTTAACTCTAAGTATAGTGTGTTGAAAGATAAAATTTTCACTAGTGAGACATGACCAACGACTATCAGTTCTTATTCTTGTCTTCAGCGTACCTCTCTTGCTAGGTTTCTTCTGCTTCATAGGAGTCATCTACCATGATCGCTAGTGATGGTAATCTTGGTGGTCATGGTAGTAGTCGTCATACAACTTAAGGTGGTTGTTGTCGTGGTAGAAGACTTGGTCGTGAAGGACAAGGTAGTCATAGAACGCAGTGATATTAATGTTAGGATAAGTATAAGAGGCCAACATATGCTTGTTAGAGCTTCCAACCCAAAACAAATTGTCAATGGATAAAGTGGCCTCTCAAGTATATAAACTAACCTTATTGGTCCTAATTACTCTTTGTAGGATACAAACTCTCTTAACAATACTAATCAAGCTTCTGATGATTCATCCTCTCCGGTGCATCAAACCTATGGATTGTCTAGAGTCATCTACTTATGGTTCTCATCGAAACCTAATTTCTCAGCTTAGCCAACTCATCCGGCAATTGTGTTCCCTTTCTCCCCAATTGTCTACCTCTTCCACTACTATAGCTAATGCAGATAATTCTATACATAGGGATGCCCAATTTGCTTCACCATTTTGAAGAATTAGTTTGGGAGCTAATGCTCACATGTCTAGTATTGTCTCACTACTTTATAATTTTTATTCTTTTAACTAATTAGCTTATGGTTCTTTTTGACCAAGGCCAAGAGACTCGTGATCTACATCCTACTTAGTCCATACCTTTAAAATTTGGTCTACGGGTTCCTCATTTCCGCTCAAACATGTTATGTGTTCATTAACTAAGTCTTTACAATGTTCACTGACCGTTACTCTGTGTTCTCATGTTGAGGAACTCTAAATCAATATTACTTGGATTGTGGGTCTCTTTAGTACATGATACGTGTACAGGTATGCTATACGTCACTTTCCTATGTACGCGATACAACGGGAATTGGCTTAACTAGTATGGTGTCTTGAGGCGCAATTCATTTTAGAACTCTTATCTAAATCGTTTTTACTACTACACAACGTTATATATTATAACATCCATAAACACTAAGTCAGTTACCATTTATCTCACATTTGTGTTCGATTTTCTACTATCTAAAATATTATATAATTATAAATTTATATATACGTAATCAGTTAATATGTATTTTATATTTGGGCTATATGTTCCAAAGAAAATCGATTTAAATTTAGTATTTCAATTTGGAGTTGTACATTTTGGTAATCTGAATTGCAACCAACCTTATTTGGGATCGATGCACTTAGATCGTAGATCGTTAGGGTTTTAATGAAATCTTGTAACTAGGCTCTAAATGGAGAAGGTAAATGGTTTTGAGCATAAGCAAAATTATCTTTACAACCTCAATTACGCAGATTCTGTTCCTACTACGAGTGCTACCACATCTCCTCTCTAGTGACATTTTATACTGATATCATCCTTCCTTGCAGAAGCTACATCAAGTTATTCCTAATTGGATTCATTCTTTTTCTTTTTTTTTTTATAAAAAAAGAATTTTATTATATAATGGAAGAAAGAAGAAAACGAATTACAATATTGAGGATAAGATATCCTCAAAATGAATAAAAACAAGATACACATCTAAGAAAAGTCTTAAGTAAAAAACTAATATTAAGTCGCCTGCCAATTCCGTTGAAGATTCGATAGAAGAATACTTCCAAAACTTCCTGTTGCTTTAATTCAAAATGAAGCCATAAAACAATTCTTTTTCATACTAATTCAGAAGGAAGATACGGTTATTGAAAATTCATGCATTTCTCTCCGTCCAAATACACCAAAGAGTTGTCATGAGCACACAATTCTATAATACCTACACTTCATTTTTATTACCAAAACCCCAAAACTTAATTTGCAACATCTGTTCCATTGTAGACGGGCAAACCCAAGCCTCAACAGTCACTTAATTTGATTCATTTTTCTTTGTTAGAATATAAGGCTTGTCAGTTCAACAAGCATCGCCGTAGTTCTTTTTCTAGTAGTCCTACAACTCATCAATCTACTCTGTGATATTTGTTAATTTAGACATTTAAGGTCCTACAAAAATAAAAAGAAATTTTTGTGATTTGTATGTTGTGATCTTTCTCGACGACTTCTCTCATATGATTTGGTTGTTTCGTGTGCAAAATCGATCAAAGTTGTCTAAGACTTTTGTCATCTTCTATAACAAGATTGTGGTTAAGTTTGATAGATGTTTTAAAGTATTTCATTTTGAAAATGCTCAACCACATTAAATCATCTATGGATACTTGTGCTCACTGTGGTAAAATTCATAAACTACATGCCCATATGCATCACGACAAAATAGAATTGTCAAGCGTAAGCATTATCATTTCTTTTAGTTTGCCAACGATTTTAAGTTTAACATGGTGTAGGGTACTAGAAATATTTCCTTTTTCATGTTCAATGAAATATTTCTTGTTGACGACAAAAAAAAAAGTGAAAAACAATTAGTGTGTCATTTGAAGAAGCATTATATGGCCTGAAACCATTAACACGTGTTTGGTTCAAGGATCAAAATTCCGTTTAGAAACGTACGAAACGTTTTCGTTTTCAAAGAGACCAAAACGAATCAATGATGGAATCGAAATTCTAATACTTCGAAGTGTTCCATAATATTTCGAGATGTTTTCTAATATTTCAATGCATTTGCACAATTGTTTCGTAATGTTTCAAAATATTTTAAGATATTTTAATATATTTCAACAAATGTTTTGGAAACAAAATTTTTATTTTTTTTATTCTGTTTCTGAAATCGGTTGAAACGTTTCCGAAACATGTCGAAACATTTCCGTTTCCTAGATGACCAAAACAATGTACCAAAACGAAATTTTGATCTTTGGTTTGGTTTGATAAACTCAATACAATTGGTCTTGTTTTTTCAGAATTATACTTTAGATCATTCAGTTTTGAAACAATGTTTGTCCAACAAGTGGTATTATTTTTATTGTATATATATTAATCAAATGATTAGTCATAAAGAACACGATGGTATTGCCCACTTTAAGACCCAATTGGAAAAGTAGTTACACATCAAAGACTTGGGCCTTCTTCACTATTTCCTTAGGATTGAAGTTTTCTAATCCAATGAAAGTATAGGTTTGTGCCAACAAAAGAATGTATTGGATTTACTTTCTAAAACCGAGGTACTCTAGGTGCATGTCCAGTTGATACCTCCATGCACTCCACAGTTAAGTTGAATTTTGATAGTGGAGAAATTTTTGAAGACATGGAGGGAGGTTTAACAGTAACTTGATTTACTTTATAGTTACATGCACTTATATGTATTATTAGTATGATTAATCATTTTGTGCATGCTCCTCGTAAGCTTCACTAAGCGCCATTTATCGTATTCTTTGCCATTTAAAAGGAGCACCATGCAAATGATTAATATATTGGTCGTTATTATGCTAGACCATTACTGGATTTTCTAACACCGACTAGTAAGTAGTTGTATTGATAGACGATCCAGTTCTAGTTACCATACATTTTTAGTGGTAAACTTGTTACTTGACACATTAACAAAAAAGAAGTGGTTTTACGTTCTAGTGCAAAAGCTACATATCGCGTCATGGCTCATACTATTTGTGAGATTTTGAGTTCGCTCTTGACTTCACAAGATGTGTTGATGTGTCGGCTAACTCGTCTCCTATATAGATACAATGTGATAATCGGGCAACTTTTTTCGTTGATAGTAACAGTGTGTTTCATGAGCGCACCAAACAAATTTGACATCGATTATCATTTTCATTCAAGATCTCTTGATGCAAAAGGAGATTATCAATCCATATATCTAGTTTAGTAATCAACTAGGTGATATTTTCACAAAACCGTTGTCTCGGTGCACCTTTAGTAGTATTTGCTTCCAGTTGGGCACTTTTTATCTTTATGATCTAGCTTGAGTGAGAGTGTTAAAGTTTTCCTTTTTCTACTATTATTCATAATATCCTAGAGTAGGGTAATATTATACCTACCCCAATATATTTTGATACAAATAAGATGGTGTAGGGTACTAGAAGCCCATTCACAACAGATCAATTCTTAATCTTTTTCTTCCTCTCTTTCTCTCCTCTTCTTCCAAAACCACACATTTTATTGTCATTGTTTTAAATACTTTCAACTCCACAGATTTTTACAGCACAATCTCCGTGACTACTCATGCCATTCACTTCACTCAATCACTCAAGGATACAAATAATAATATTCCTTTGGGAAAGTGAAGTTTAAGCTGCAGGATAAGTAGAAACTGAAATTCAAGAGATCAAACAAAGTAGACTCACATTGTATAATTCATTTAATGCCATCCATCCAGTTGAAACCCCAAGTTCATAGCCAAGAGTTTGATGATAATAGGAATCAATCTCCTCATAATAATCTCTGAAGCTGAACAACCCTTTTATAGGATATAACTCAGCTTTCTCAATGACTTCTTTCAAAACATCAGGTCCCATAAACATGAGCACCTACAAGTACAAAATAAAGGCAGAGTCAAGAGTGATGACATTAATCTCGGTAGACGTTAATGAAGATCAACAACTCTGAAGTGTTTTCATAATGATTTCAAAACAGGAATACTAAAAGAACTATCATGCTCATGAATACCAAGCCATATTGAACGAATAGCGAGATACAGTGGGAAATTATTACATGTCCGCCAGTTGGTAAACATTAAATAAGTAAAATTTTCTTTATTCTTCTTTCAGCAACAAATTATTATGAGTTTGATAATTTTTTATCCAAAAAACAACAATTTTTAACTATTGAGCATGACAGCAAAATGTTGTGAACAATTATTCTGAATTGACAAATCACAAACAACAAATATACAGAGCAATGGAAAATAAGCAGTGTGCTATATCAATATGAACATATATGATATAGCCGAATTGCATAAAGCATGACAAACTCTATTAAATGATGAATGCATTATAGGGAGGTCCAAAAAAACACTTAACCCACAGACCAACTAAAAAGTTTGCATTAAAGGGGGAAAAAAGAAGATTTGATGGTAGATCCAGTATTATGAAAAGCGCGCCTAGGCGAGAAGCGAGGCGAGGCAAGACTAGCTCCCCTGGAGGACCCCAGGCGAAGCGAACGTGATCAAGGCGAGAAAAAAGCAAGAAAAAGTGAAAAAAAGAAAAAGCGTTCGCTTTTATTATAAGAGGCGAAATATTTAATTTTTAATTTAGACTGTTGGATTGGGCGATTACAAAAAAAATTTTAAGATGTTGATGTACCGAATTATTCCCTTATCCTATAAATACAACTCCTAACCTAATTTTGTCTCATTTTTTCTCAGATAGCTTTGATCGGTGCTGCTCTCTCCACTGCTACACGATCGATCGGTGCTGCTCTCCACTGCTACATGATCGGTGCTGTTCTCCACTGCTACACTCCAAATCTTCGAGTTTTTCGCTGCTTCTACACCATCGTTGCTGCTGAACAGAGATATCGTTGGGTTTGTAGGGCTGGTCTGGACTGTGGAGGTTAGTCTCTTCTTCTTCTCTCTTCTATTTTTTTTTTCTTCTGTCTTCTGCTCCTTCACCGATTCTGTTTATTCTCTTTTTTTTTTTTTTTCTTGATCTGATTCTACCCTATCCTGCTCTGATTCTACCCTATTCTGCTCCGATTGTGCTTTTTTTTTTTTTTGTCATTATGCTTCTGTTTTTTTTTTTTTTGCTTTTTCCTTATGTTGCTGTCCAAAATCCAGTCCATATGAAGATCCCATAAAAATGTAAGGAGTTAAAATCAAATGTAAGCCTAGGCAAAAAAAAAATTGTGAATAAAACTCCAGTCCGAAATATAATTTAATTAAGCTTTGATGGCATCTCACTCTCACATGATATGATCATTATAGGTGACTAGGCCCGTGTTTCAAATAATAGAACAATGTTATTTGAATCTAAATTTCTAATATAATTTGTTGGTATAATGGTGTGCCTTTACTTTACATAATTTGATGGCATTAATAAGGCTTTACTTATCAATTTTTTACTATTTTTTTTTCTCATTAGTCCCTTTACATCATTGGATTAGTGAACTCACTATAATGCTTCGTAGGTATTCTATAGAAAATACAAGAAAAATTGGGCAGAGGATTATTGAATTCGTGCAGCCATTGATTTTGGTATCATATATGCTTTCCGTGAACAAGGAGGAATTCACCAAACCCATGCACTTCAAAAATTTATTTTCTTTTAAAATCAATCACTTTCAAACTTATTTCTTAAATTTAGTCATTTTTAAAAGACGTTTAAATATGACGCTTTTCACGCACTAAATATAAATATTGAACTAAATTTGATGTGTAGTGCGTTAAAGGCGTCATGCCAAATCATGTCTTTAAAAACATTATTTCAAATAATCTTTTAATTCATGAAGGCGTTATTTAAAATAATGTCTTTTTAAAAGTAATTGAATTTGAGAAATAAATTTAAAAATAACTTATTTTGAAAAAAAAAATTGGGGGGGCATGCCTTTGGTGAATAATCATGTGTAAGCTTAGTTTCATTTGGTAATAATATGGTCGGAGACTACATAAGAATTATACAAACAAATGAAAATGCAAGACTTAATGTATTTAGTACAAGTTGAATTGTTTACATGTGAAATATGAAATTGTTTACAACGTAATGCTTCTGATTTTTTTTTTTTTTGCTCTTTTGCTTCTGTTTTTTTTTGTGCTATTGTCCTGATTCTATTGTTGTCCTGATTCTACTTCTGTCCAGTCAATATGAAATTGCTCCTATGCTGCTTCTATTTTTTTTTTCCTCAGTCGTCTGCTTTTTTTTTTTTGTTGCATTCTACTATTGTCCTGATTCTGCTTCTTTTGTTGTCCTGTCCTGTCCTGTCAATATAAAATTGTTTACAACTGATATGAAATGTGATTCAGTACATGTGAATGTGTTTTGTTCCTTTGATTGTAGTGTGATAGTGTTATTCATAAATAGCATCGTCGTCCGAAGGGAACAAAAAAGATCCGGCATGAAAATATGCACACTTGGTAAATCCTCGAAACACAAACAAGTTCAAATGCAATTTTTGTGGAAAAGAGTCAAATGGAGGTGTCTATCGGGTCAAACAACACCTAGCGGGGAACTCTACGAGTGTTATTACTTGTCCAAAATGCCCTGCTCATGTTAGGGAGGAGATTAGAGAATACATGGCTAAAAAAAAGGAAGAGAAGAATCTAATGAACATGGTTCCCGACTTTGATGAGATGCCTAATGACTTGGAGGAGGATGAAGATGATATTGTAGAGATTGTTGCGAATCGTAAAAGATCCATGACTAGTTTTAGTCAAGGTTCTGCACAAGCCACATCAAGACCAAAAAAGCCAAGACAAAAAAGGCCTATGGATGTATACTTCACCCCTGATCCGAATGTTGTGGTGATCCGAATGTTGTGGTGCAAAATCGAAAGACCAAGGGAAGACAAACGAATATTGATGCCAACGATCCTTTTAGAAAGGAAATGAGAGAAAGAGTCATCACAACATTTGCCCAATGGATGTATGACACGGGAATTCCCTTTAATGTTGTGAACTATGAAAGTTTTGCAGCAATGGTTGAAGCTTTTGGACAATATGGTCCTGGTTTGAAACCCCCTTCTTACCATGAGGTTCGGGTCCCATTGCTCAACAAAGAAGTAGGGCATATAAAGTCATTGATGAAAGATCACCAAGAGGATTGGGCAAAATATGGATGTTCCATAATGGCCGATGGATGGACTGACAAGAGAGGGAGGACCTTGATTAATTTCTTAGTGAATTGTCCAAAAGGGACCATGTTCTTTGAATCTGTTGATGCTTCTGCATACTCAAAGGATGGGCAAAAAATATTTGAATTGCTTGATAATTTTGTGGAGCGTATTGGTGAAGCTAATGTGATTCAAATTGTCACTGACAGTGCGGCAACAAATGTGTTAGCAAGTATGAGCTTCTTGAAAAAAAAAAAATAACTACTTGTTATATTGAATTTTTTTATGCGCACTAGTTGATAAAAAAATCTTTATTTAATAGGTAAGTTTTTGGAGGCAAAACGACCCAACCTATATTGGACGCCATGTGCTGCCCACTGCTTGGACTTGGTATTGGAAGATATCTTCAAGTTGCCAAACTTCAAGAGAACATTTGAAAGAGGAATAGCATTACACGGTTATATTTATAACCATCCAACTCTGTTGAATATGATGAAACGATTTACCCAGTCAAGGGAGTTGATTAAGCCCGCAAAAACTAGATTTGCTACGGCTTTTCTTACGCTAACAAGGATCAACCAACAAAAAGGTAACTTGAGAAAAATGTTCACTTCAGAGGAATGGACTACAAGCAAATGGGCAAAAGAACAACAAAGCAAAAGGACAGCACAAATCATTTTAATGCCTTCATTTTGGAGTAATGTTGTCTACTCTCTTAAGCTTACTGGCCCTCTAGTTCGTGTGCTTCGATTGGTTGATGGTGAGAAAAAGCCTCCCATGGGGTACATTTATGAAGCTATGGACCGGGCTAAAGAAGCGATTGCTAATTCTTTTAATGGCAATGAAGAGAAGTACAAACACATCTTTGAAATCATTGACCGAAGGTGAGAAGTTCAATTGCATCGGCCTTTGCATGCAGCTGGGTATTTTTTGAACCTAGAGTTTTTCTATTCCAATCCAGAGGTTGAGAAAGATCAAGAAATCATGAATGGCCTATATAAATGTTTGGAAAAGTTGGTCTCAAATCCTGCGATACAAGATAAAATTGGTCAAGAGTTGAGTATTTACATGAAAGGTGAAAACCTCTTTAAGTTGCCCATGGCGGTTAGACAAAGAACAACTAGGGCACCAGGTAATCTATGTTATACCACAAGCTTATTTCATTATCATTGCTTAAATATATTAGTTAATTAATTGTTATTCATTATTCACAGCTGATTGGTGGAGTGCATATGAGTCTGCAATTCCAAATTTGCAAACCTTTGCAAAAAAAATTTTAAGCCTTACTTGTAGTGCATCCGGTTGTGAGCGAAATTGGAGTGTGTTTGAGCATGTAAGTATCATCCTCAAACCTCTTCAATTACATTTTTTTTTAATCTTATCATAAATTTTAATGTATTGTTAATAAATTATTGCAAATACACACCAAAAAAAGAAATAGACTAGCTCAATCCCGTCTCAATGATTTGGTGTTTGTTAAATATAATAGAGCTTTGAGACGCCAATATGATTCCCGTGACACAATTGATCCAATATCTTTGAAGAATATTGATGATAGCAATGAGTGGTTGATTGGGAGAATGGATGCTGACACAGATGAAGATAATGAGCTTATGTTTGGTGATGATACTTTGACTTGGGGCGAAGTTGCTCGAGCTTCTAGAGTTACGGAAAGTAGCCAACGGACTAGATCAATACCATCTACTAGGGTAACACCAAGGTTTATAAGATCGACGACTGGACTCACAGATGAGGAAGACATAATTTCAGATGAGGCAGAGGAGGAGGATACTGAGGGATATGAATCTAAGGATAATGAAGAAGATGGTTTCTTTAGTGATGAGGATTGATTTCTAAGTCCTTGAGATATTTTCTTTAGTTGCTTGAATTGTGTATCTTATGTTTTTAAATATTAAGATTTGGGATATTATTAGTATTTGTATGAATTTAAATGTTTAAGCTATGACTGTTATTAAGATTTGCAATATTATTAGTGTTTGTTTTAATTTAAATATTTAGTATATATAAATTAGAACTTTGATGTGTATAAATAATTACACTAAAATATTTATTTATTTTTTTAACTGCTCGCTTCGCTTTGGTAAATCCTTTCACTTCGCTTCTCGCTTCTCGCCTAGGCGTTAAGAGCCTTGGTCACTTCGGTTCGCTTAACGCCTTAAATAACACTGGGTAGATCTACCATTAGAAAAGTTGAAAGTTGCTAAGCTCTTATGATCAATCCTCCAACCAGAAAAAGAAATAAAATGATGAGTGCAAATATGGGTATCAAACCTCATTTGCATCTTTAAAATTATCCAAGTCATTTTTCTTTGGCCATTTGACCCGCCAACATCTGTTTACCAAAAAAAGTAGTGTCAACTAAGATAACCCATTGCAAGAAATATTGTTTTCATGAATCATGAAATTTAAAAGGCTGCATCACAAGTATACAAATTTATGCAAACCTTTCCCTTCCAAGGCGGCGTGCAAGTTCTTCGGCCAGAGCTTGACCTGGTGGATCTCCATCAGTTGCAAGTATTATGCGTGATGCCTATCAAAAGAATGGACAACCAGATGCCTTTGACTTCAGCAATTATTACTTCTATAATTAACAACAAAAGGGAAAAAGAAAGAAAGGAAAATAAAAGCAGACCAACTTAACCAACCTTCTCTATGTACTCTTTGCAGTTCCAAAGATACTGATACTTTGTATCCTAGCTTTACAAAATCCATAAAAGGAGGATTAGATGCAATACTTCAAAATAGAATGACAGAGGTTATATTGAGAAACGACAAGCAAGACGCTTTTGTTCTTGCTTGATTTCTCCTACTCTTGCTTGGTCATAATGTTACCATTAAAGAACACTTCCAAGAAGCAAAAACCAAAGTTTGAACAATTCAAACTTGAAGAGAAAGGAAATTTTGCCAATTTAACATAAGGTAGGCAGAGACCTGTTCTTCAGATGGCAAGTCTTTAGTGGAGACTGATGGAGGCGCACCATCAGGGACACTCACACAGTTTCTAAAGCCAGCTTCTTCCATTGCAAGCTTGTCCATCTCACCCTCAACCTGTAGTCAAAAATGTAGATAACAGTTATCATGCATAAAATTTATGGAATTGTCCATAAGCAGCAAGATGGCGAATAGATAAACCATCATAAAGATATTACGATGATGATATCGCTCTCTCCCTTGATGTCATCCAGTCCATAGAATATCTTTTCAGTATCTCTTTCCTGCGAATTACAGCAAAAGTGATGACAATTGAAATAGTGTAATTCTAAAATGACTTAAATACCATACTTCAAAAATAAGACATATGACGAGGCAAAACTTGTCAAATAGAGAAATAGATATATTATTATAACAAAAAGAAAGTTTCTAAATTCATATCCAAGGGAACATAGGGAAGTCAATAAAAAAGGTAGCCCCAAAAAGGAGCATAAGTCCAAAGAAATTAGAACCATGTTCAAAAAATATTACTTGAGATCCCTCTTCTGGAAAGCCCTCTGATCAGGTCGGATTGTTATTTCCAATGGAGATTACTCATACAAATATTTGGTAACATAAAGTTTGATCATAAAAATAAGCCACTGTTAAACAAATGAAATCACCAGCAATGGACTCAATAATTTAAAAGAAGTTAATTGATGCCATAGCCATTCAATCAAAATATGCTTGCTTAATACTACATTTAAAGATCAATAGTACTATCTTATACCCAATCCAAAGATTAAAAGAAGAAAGGCAGCTTCTGCCACAAAAACCTGCCAAAACTTCTTGTTGATATCCCGGTATTTGCAGCTCACAAGCACTCCATTTCGTCGATAAGGAAATGCAATAAAAATCTGTAAATTAAAAGCTGTAAAAGTAAGTCCACAGAAAAATTATATCATTCTGTAAGCAACTGTAATGGAATTTTTTTCACACTAAGAAAATAAAGGCTCACGGTTTCCCTCACTAACTTATGCATATTTCTCTACCCACGCAACTGAGGAGAATGTCAACGGGCAGGAGAAAACCATAGTTTTATCATCCTATCTTTCAATTTTCAAAGATTCATTTTCTTATCATCCTATCTTTCAATTTTCAAAGATTCATTTTCTTTGCTTTCCAGTACTTGGTATATATTCTAGGTTTTTTTCTTTTTGCGTTCTCTTTTTTTTTTTTTTGGAGGGGGAGAGGGGCTTGTTACAAAACCAGAAAAACTATCCGAATCTAGTAAGCAACTCCTTTGCACCTAATACTGATAACAAAACAACTCATTTTGACATTTGCTCTAGGCAATGTTCAGTTAACATACTTTAGTCATTTCAGCACTATCACTAAGATGAACAATGGTCCCCAAATACTTTTTTAGTAATCTTGTTCATCCCAGAACCTACCATTTGACTTGTCCTAAAAGCAAGTCGCCTTAGCCACAATATAGAAGTAACAATCTAAGAAAATGGCCTTCATCTCTCAATGATTACAATAAAGGGCAGCTTAGTAATAAATTTCTCTTCCATGGGATCAAGCATTCAACAAATAAAGAGGACCATCATAATTTATGTTTGGTCCACAGTGGAAGTTTCAAATCAGAGCCACAGAGCTTGAAAAAATATTTTCAATCTGTAAACCTAGTAACCTACACAATTGGACAACATCGACTGAACAAAAAAAGTTAGATAAAGGCAATATTTTCTTAATTCAATAGCTTGTGCACCTGATCACCAACTCTTTTTTGCATGACAGTATTCCGCTGCAATGTCTGCCTCGATATCAGTCGTTCAGCAAAGTATCCCTGTAGCTGAAACACAAATAAAGTGGGAATTCATGCGTGTTGTGCAACACTATAAATAAAAAAAGACAACTCAATGCATGAGACTCCCGCCACTGCAAGTTCTAGATTGCTCAACACTATCAATATACCACCAAACCTACATAAGCATGTAAGGAAAACAGCTGCAAACATCCTGCAAATGGAGGATGATCTCTTATTATTTAAGCTTTGAATGACCAAATCCATCACATTGGCACAGCACAATCATATTCACGATGAAGATGCCAAAGTATAGATTACAGGAATCAAAATATCAGCCAAACAACTAACCTTTATTATTTTCTCCGGCAGTTCATATTTCAGTAACTCTTTGATCTGTCACAGGCTCCAGAATCACAATATTTTGCACTCATCTTGATTCATATACAGTTTTAGAGTACTCTCGGTGTTCAATATCAATTATTATCTGCTGTCTGCTTTGTTTCTGGTTGTTTTCTGGTGAGATCTAGGTCTTTGTTGCCTCAACATGGTTATCGCAGGAAAATTCAATGCATTCCCATGGCTGCTCATGGTCGAAGAGGACACAGAGGAAGAAGACAGCAGGTCCAAATCGCAGACATGCAGAGATAAGATGTATAATTCAGGATATGTCGTGGTTTGTGCAGGCCCTTTCATGACAAAAACATCCAGGCTCCAGAGTCAATTTATGATGGATCTGTCAATCAAGAGGTGACTGTGGATGTCTTACCAGTAGAAGGGAATCTTTAGTGGTTTGAGGAATCATGACAACACCAGAGACTGAAGATGAAGACTAGAGGCATCACACTTCTTTCTATACTAGAGTATTTTGTGGCGCAAGGTATATGATGTTACCCTTGATGGTGGTAGCAGTGAGAACTACAGTTCCAAAGAAGTTGTAGAGAAGTTGAAAAGCCAATTGAGAGCCTCAGAGCTATCCTAATCCTTGCAAAGGTGCATGGTTTCGAGGGGAAATGAGGTGATAGTTACTTTTGGCTGTTCAGTCAAATTAGTTTGGGTGATAATTTCAACAATAAGACTTTCTGTTTCACTGTGTCGATGGATGCTTGTCATATTTTGTTGGGAAGAATGTGGTTGCACAGTAAGATATGACCCACTACACGAGTAAAGATATGACCCACTACACGAGCTAATATCAGTCACAAGACATTATCAAGAAATTAACATTTCAGCCACTTAAAGAGGCACTGTCATGACTTAGACCAGCAAGGTTAAAGGCTTTTTACTTCATGAGATGGGTGTTATGTGCTGCCACCTATGCAGATGCAATGTAACAACCAAGCAGTCATTTTTATTGCTAATAATCCAGTGTTTCATGAGCATACCAAACACATTAAGAGGTTCATTCTTATTTTGTTTGGGATCTCTTAAAATGAAAGGAGATTATTACTCCTAGTGTAAAGCCCGGTGATCAACTAGGTGATATCCTTACCAAATTATTGACGCGGTCCACCATTAGTACCATTTGTTCCAAATTTAGGATTTTTTTATCTCTATGCACCAGTTTGAGAGAGAGTTAGATATTTACTTTCTTATTATGTTACTTTCTAATCTACCCTTATTTTAAAAAGAAGGTGCCGACAATTGATGTGATGCCCAAATAATTTTAATGTTGTGTGGCGCATGGCGCTGATTACTCACGTGTCCTAATGTTGTGTGGCGCGTGAGATAACATTGTGATGGGGATCGTGTAGGAATTGGATAGATATTTTAGATTAATCATGAGAGCAATTTGAATACTTTTAATATTATCTTTTAAGTATTTTCTTTTAACTTTTAAGAATTTTTTTATCATTATTTATTTGTTTTAAGGTTTTAGTTTCCCTATATAAAGGGATACATGTAAAGCTTTTATTTAGATTAGACTTTGATTATTATTGATTAATGATATTGAATACTGATATTACTTCTTCCTCAAATTCTCTCCCTTTTCTCATTCCCTTCTCATCTCTAATTTTTTTCCTTCCTAGTCTACATCAATTTGGCATCAGAGCTACTACAATCTGCATCACTTTGGTATCAGAGCTACTACGATCTACATCACATTGCAAGAGTTAAAAATTAAAATAATCTTAATTGCAGTATAAGATGCAAAGCACCAATTAAACCTCCAATAAAATTGGTTTGTTTGTGAGATCATGAAATCCACACAAAATTTTAAGAACAAGAATATGAACATAAACAGTGGTGTCAATAGCTTTTGCACAAGGCACATATTATACATATGTCTTTCCATATATATATATATCTAGTGATAACCCGTACTTGAAGGTACCATGTAAAATAAAATTCAATCACCCAAAAAATTGATCTCACTATATTAGATAATAGTTTTTTTCCTTTCCTTTCTTTAATTACATGACTAGAAATTAATTTCTAACCATTATTTAAAAAAATTGACAAAAGTTTTTCAAACTACATGACCTTAAAAAAATATCAATATATGCACATTATCGTGCATAAACAATGGCTAAAATAAAAAATATATATTGAGCCACAAATTAATCAAAAATTAAATAATTCAACTTGTATAAAAATGTGTAATGTGATACAAATGGGCGAAAAAAATGTGAATAAAATTCAAAATGCTAGCTATCTTATTAGATAGATGTTTATATAAATATATATATATATATATATATATATAACATTGATTAATAAAATTGCAACAAATTTCACTGATACTAAAATATGTTCAATTTCAGTCAAGTATATTCAATTTCACTATTTTAGACAGTAAAATATATTTGATTTTACAGTTCAAAATAGAGAATATATAAAATTTATGACAATTTCATATAATTTGAAAACAATCATTCTCTTTAATCTATATCTAAAGTAGCTATCATTATCCAAACAGTTCAAAATAATGAAATATATAAAATTTATGACAATTTCAGATAATTTAAAAACTCCATTCTCTTTAATACGTATCTAAAGTAGTTATCACTATCCAAATAGTTCAAAACAGTGAAATATATAAATTTATGACAATTTCAAATAATTTTGAAACACCCATTCTCTTTAATATGTATCCAAATTAGCTACCATTATCCAAACAATAAAATTGGGTGTTCAAACCGCCGAACAATGGAATACACTCAATTTCAATATTCTAGACAGTAAAATTAAGTCTATACATTCGATTTCACTGTCCTAGACAGTAAATGTATCCTAATTTCACTGTTCGAGATGAAATATACTAATCTATAACAATTTTAGATAATTGTCTAAAATCTATCCTCTTCAATAACTATCCAAATGAACTTTTACTGTCAAAATAGTGGAATAAGATATAATTCATTGTCCGAAATAGTGAAAAACACTCAATTTTAATGTCACATCCCAGATAGTGAAATGTACCTAATGTTACCATCCCAATGTCTAACTCAATAAAATTGGTATACATTTTGTTTTCCGAACTAGCTTGGGGTCTCAACACAACTTAATGATCGAGAATAACATCCAATATAACAATTAAACATAAAGAACGAGGGGCAGTAAAATTTTATTTGACCTATAATGTATAATATAATATATCTTTCTAGTGAAACAGATAAAAATTCTAGGACAACTTAAATGCTAAAAAAAAAATTTCTTCAATATCTTTGAAAATAAATTAATAAAAATAATTAATTTTGATAATTAATTACAACAATTTAGTACGACAAAATCACAAACCCCTCTTTTTCAAATCCCCTTCTCGCGTGCACACAGACACACACCTTTCATTGCCACAATCCACCCCCATCAGATATTAGGGGTTGCCTCATAAACTGGCAGCCTAATAAGTAATCATATTAGATAATATTTTTTGGATCGCCTATTATATTTTGCCATAAGTGCTTGTGTTAAGTTTTAACCATGATTAGCATACTCTCTCTCTCTCTCTCTCTCTCTTAAAGTAGAGCTAAGTTTGAATCTCAAAACTTATCTCTTTTCACGGTTCAAAACAATTCTGAGCAAAATATAAGTTAAATCTAAGAGTATGTTATATTGAATTTTTCAAGGCTCAGATTAATTCAAAAATACTAATCCGACGAATAATATTCACTCTTAATTTTTTTTTCTTACCCAAAAGTTTCCTATTTTTACTCCTATAAATCACAACCTAAATCATGTCATATTCAGTCCTAATTTTCTCTCTCCCATAATTTACATTTCAAAGAATGTTCTCTCTCTCCCTCCCCCATATCTACCCTAAATCTCTTTTCTCTCTCCTCAAATTCTCCAAGTACAATTTGAATGTTCTACTTTCCTTTGTCTCCCCCAAATTTCCTCTTCTCACGCTCAATGGTCTGCCCTAATCTCTCCCTTCCGATTCTTTCTCAGCTCTCCACTCTCTTCTCTCTCTAAGAAGCCTTCGTATCTTAATGCACGAATTTAATTTATTCGAAGCTATTAGAGCAGGATCCATTGTAGCTACCTAGACATCGCCAATAGTGACACAACCATTGCCCAGTCACCACCAGCGACAATCACATCCTCACTTCTTTCTCTGCACCGCCGCTCAACGATCGCCATCACCAACCAAACTCCTTTTTTAATTGTAATTGATTTGGTATATGGAACTTGGGTTTTTGTAATTTTTGTATTGTTCAATTTGGGTGCTTCGTAATTTTAGTATCGTAAATGTAGTGGATATTGTTCAATTTGTGTGTTCCATTTCTCTCCTGTTAAAAGCCGATGGAATAGTTGACGAAGTGGTCACTGAGGAACCCAAATCCACTCCCGAAGTCACAAGACTCACAACACCTTTAATTTCTCACTCATCATTTACCTAGAAAGTTGTGATCTTTCTCCACTTAACCCTTTATTGTTTTATTAACACATCTATGTTTCATGAGTTCCATTGAGGTTATTTCGCTGTGGTTTAGACCATCTAGGTTTGTCTGCTTCTCTATCTATCTCTCTCTCTCTTTTTCCCCAATCTCTCACCCATCTCCCTTGGCCACCAAAACACACCACAACCCACTAAACACTTCACGGATCCAGAATCCAAGATAAAAAGCTAAAGCCCTCTCTATTGATTTCATTAAATTTTGATTATGTTGAACTACTTTGTCATATGATTTTTCTCTATTTCCTACAGTGTTGACAATGTTAGTTTGATTTTCTATCTTTCTTGTAGAGTTAACAGAGTTAACCATCTCTATCGATCATGTCAGTATAGCTGGTGCAGACAATTGATAAATGGTGTCCGAAGTTGTAAGCATTTACTTAGGAACAAATTGATCCAATTTCGGTCTATTCAATTATTTTTCTGATGGTAACAATTAATTGTGGTTTTCTATTTAATTGGGTGATTACTTCAATATGCCTATTGCTTCATGTTCGCATTATTAAGTTTGATTACTCTAGGGTTGAATTTTTTGTTGAATTGTACTATTTGTATCATGTTCAACCTACCTATTCAACATGCTTTCACACTTTCGCAGCCAACCGCGACTTTGTGTTCGTTATTTCTTGGAGTTTTTGCAAAAGGGACATTTCTTAAATTTAAAATATCCCTGTTGATATTGTTAATTAATTTTTCTAATTTTTTTAACATTTCTATTAAAAAGTCTGATTTGGATATATATTGGTTGGGTAGGACAACTTTGATTGACTGGTTTCAACTTTATATAGTGTGTCCACGGCATGATTTGAATTTGACAATTATTGTGATGTTTGGTATATGTGGATTGTTGAAGTTTGTGTTGTGGGCAAGAATCAAAATTTTGTTTCGATGTATTGTTTTGATCACCTAGAAAACAAAAAATTTTCAATATATTTCGAAAAAATTTCGACCTATTTCGGAAATATAATGAAAAAAATAAAAAATTTAATAATTATTTTTTAAAAAATATTGGTCAAAATATACCAAAAGGTCCAAAACAAAACATCTTGAAATTCCTTAAAACATTCCGATATAATTGTGCAAATGCTTTGAAATATTACTAAACACCTCAAAATATTATGAAACACCTCGAAATATTAGAATTTAGATTGCATCACCAATTCATTTCAATCTCCTTGAAAATGGAAACGTTTCGGAGATTTCAACTATTTCGAAATAAAATTTTGATCCTTGGATGTGGGTTTACCGCCAACCAGAATCTATAGCTTCCAAGAAGTATGTAACTCCTAAATATACCCATGTATCATGGGCCTGAAAGTTTGGAGTCTTTCGACCACTCCGTAGGTGAGTTATCAATTTTAAAGGGTTGTTAATGACTAAAAATTAGGTTGTAAACGTTTAAGTACCATTAACGGTTGGTTGAAGGACTGGACTAAATTTGTGGAGACATTTGAAATTGAGTAAACTTATGCAGATGCTTATGATAGGATTAAAGGGAAGTTTGGCAGCAATTAATATAAAATGCGACAGTCTGAAGTTCCTTTTTCTCCCCCTTTTCACATTGAAGTTTAGTTTTTGGTTGCCAAGGTATTCAATTATGATTTCGCAAGGGTATGTTTCATCAGACCCTTGCAATTAAACCCTCATTTACTTCAATGAATTATGTTGTTCCATCATTCTTTTCATCTCTATGTAGATTATGAATATGGCCCACTTGGTTACAATTTGTCATTAAGTACTTGGTTCCTTTTTTTTTTTTTAATGTTTTTGCAGCTTCTTGATCACTGAATATATCATTTTGACTATAATTTGAGGTTCTTAGGCTTACCAACTAAAAACAATCTTCAACATTAATCTAACTCCCTCCAAAGGAGCAATTTACGTAAAGCATTAAATTAGAATCCTAGAAACCTATACACAATATTTATTGACTATTTGTGAGTTTTATCAGGGAAGAAAAAAGGCAATAAAGATGCTGAAGAACATGCTATAAGAGGAAGGAGGCAGCCGAGAATGCTTAGTTCCTATAAGGCAGCACAAGGTTTTTTCCTCATTTTTTATAAGCTGACATGTATGTGTTAATGTGTTTCTTTTTTTTTGTCTCATAATGGTTTTGAGTTTGCATGAAGTTTGCCTTTGGTAGTGTATTCTATGGTAAAGGATTCTTAAGGCTTGTGAATAGTTTGTTCTTTGATTAGAGTTGATGGGTGTTTGAGTTCTAATTAAAGCCTTGTTGTTAAGTTTTGGCATTAATTTATCCATGGAGGCATGATTCAAAATAACTATAACTTTTATTTGAGGGAATTTTTTTTTCTTCAGAAAGCTGGATGCATGGATTTGAAATGAAGTGATTTTTCAATGTATTCTCATTTTTTGTAATTGCCATTTTTTTTTTTTTGTATTGTACAGTGCCTTCAGCCACAGGTAATTTCTAATATATATATATATATATATATATCATAACTTTGACAGCAACTTAGGTGAGATTTCTTGTTGCCCGTTGCATGAAGCTTTATTTGCAACATTAGCTGGTGTGCACCCTAAAAGCAAGTTTTCTGTGCATTTTACTCTCAGAGACTCCTACAGCTGAGAAAATGAACAAAGGGGTAGATGATAATATATATTCTTCCTGTTGATATACACCACCATCATCTCTCACTCTTCTATTGAGAGGTCTATCTCCTTCCATCTCAGTAATAGACTTTGATCCACTCCTCTGTTGCAGTAGGAGAGAATCTAGAGGGGGAATTTTTCAGATACAAAAGATAGAATGGAGAGAAAAGAGGCGAAACAAGTAACGTGTAGAAGAGAGAGGCGATAGCCTAGATCAGATTTGGAAAAAAAATTATAATATAACAAGGGTGATTTTGTCGTTGAAATTTTTTTTATTTTTAGATCGGACTTAACGACCTAACACATTTAAATGATTGTCCTTTAAACCTTAAAAAAGTCATGCCTGGACCTCGTAACTTAAAAGGTATATAGATTGTATTTTTGACCAATTTTCACAAAAAATAAAGGGGGAGTAAGTGTTTGTAGCATCTAAAAAATCATCAAATTTGATTAAACAAGGGCAAGGTAGCACAAAAGTGAAGCCTAACTACCTCGCTACACAACGGTTCCAACCCCAAAGTCTGCTCTACAATTTCTCTTGTTTGCTTAACTTTTGGGATTTGGTTCATCTTTCCATAAGTTGACTTCACACCTGCAAAGGCCTGCAAACAAATGGGCACACCTGAAAAGGCAACTCTCACATCCAGTTGTATTATAATGTGGGAAAATTAAAAAAAAATAAACAAAATAAGCAATATTTTACTTGTGTGCTGCCTCTCCATCCACATTTCGCTCGAAAACAGATCCATGAAGCTGCATCACTATGATACATTGACAGATATGGCTGCCAAACTGTTAACGATGAAGTAAAGAAGTTTAAAAGCCAAAGAAAATTTTAAAAAATAGAAGTATAACAAGTGTACCCATCTGCGGTGATCAGAAGAGATAAGCTCCTCTCTTTTGATTCCCCGCCTTTGCACTACAAAACAAGAACACAACCTCAGTACACATTAAAAGTGAGACCAATGTTTACATACGGGATAGAAGGTAAAATGAATCCAAAAGGCTCACATAAATTGTCATTTTGCAGCATATTATATACAACCCAATACTTAAAACTTCCAACATATTGCCATCTATAAGTGTCACATGCAGCAGATTGTCCATTGTCTTTTTTCAGATAGATGTCCGCACAAAAGATTCTTCTTCTAATCCTCTTCTTCCATCCTTATAATCCCAGGCCCTCCAGATATACAGACACAAAATAAATCCATTCTACTGCTACAATCGCATCCTTTGCTCCCCAGCATCATTTGACTCAAATGAATTCATGATTTCTCCACTAAAGAAGGTTGAACAATGTATTATACTCTCACCATCTTCGTAATACATTTTTCAAACCACCCATCTGGCACCTAACCTCTATTTACCACCAATGCGACATTCTTGACCAGTTTTGAAACAACTGATTTGCAAGTCACTTCTGCTCACAAGCCTAGTAAATCTTTCACATAAAACGTGTGTGTGTGTGTGTATGCATATATTTTTATTCATTTATCTTTAGCATGTTCGTTTAACTTGATATCATTCATAGGGTAAAAAGTTTCTCAAACCATCTCTACCACTTAAAGCATCAATTCAATCAAAGTGGCTACCAATCAGTTAGGACAAAGATTCATTTCTTTATTCTTCCTGAGGTAGACAAACGTTTTTGATTTTTGAATCTTCTGTGACTAACCAGCTGTAATCAAACAAAACTAACAAAATCTACATTATAAACAAGGTTCTGACTTTTATGAAATTGGTTAAACAAGAATCAAAAACACCTTGCCCCATTCTTCACACACATTAAAATCTTCATATCACCGTATTTCCATAATAAACCACAAAATGCGGTAAGCAGCCAAATCTGGAGCTCGTCACCTATGAAGCACAAATACGGATACGGAATACAGGTACGATACGGATATAAAGATACAACAAAATCTAAAAAAGTAGGATACTAGTACGGTCAAGATACAGCTATAATAAAATATATTTAATATTTTTATTATTTTCAACTAGCTAAATGCTTATATATTTTGGTAGTTCGTTAACACAATAAGGAAAATTAATAATTCTTTTTAGTTTCAAGAAAACATATATCGTATTATTATAATATATTCACAAAGTGAACTGATTAATTAAAAAAATCAAAGCTAATATTTACCGAGTCGGTTTATTTAAAAGTAATTTTTGTTAAAACAATAATATAATAGATTTATTTTATGCTCGTTTGCAATGTAATTATAGATAATACTTAAAAAAAAAACTCATGTGCCTTTGAAGTAGTATAAATTTTTGTTAATGTATCATATGGTATATGAATTCAAAAGGAAATATTAAAAATTCAACTCAAATTATATATGTTCCTTGAACATAAAAGTATTCATGAAGTATCCTAATATTTAATTATTATCAGATATATAGGAGGTGTATCCTCGAGTTTCCAACGAGTATCGTATCCGATACGAGAACGCCAACCTCAACAAAGTATCCATGCTTCATAGCTCGTCACTGTAGAAGACATTCAAACCTAATTGAATTGTGGACATGATTCAAGGTCGCGATTAAGAATCAAAATTTTGTTTCAATACATTGTTTAGTTTAACTAGGAAACATAAACGTTTCGAAAATGTTTCGAAATCAACATAGAAACAATTAAGAAATTAAGACTTTATTTTCAAAATATTCCAAAATGAGTCGAAATATACCGAATTAAACATTTTGAAACATTTTGAAACAATAGTAGAAATATGCTGAAACATCTCAAAACATTCTGAAATGCCTCGAAGCATTATAATTACAATTTCATCACTGATTCATTCCAGTCTCCTTGAAAACGAAAACCTGAAACAAATACGTTTAAGCCGCTTTGGCTATTTCGAAATAAAATTTGATCCTTGGTCGTGATATTGATCATCGACTTGGAAGCCACTAAGATACATCAGTCGTGAAGACAATAATGATCCCATGCATGAGATTCCAAATATAAGAAGAAGTTGGAAATCGCGAGACTTTAAGGCCATAGCGCTCTGTTCTGGAATGATGACTTAGGCAGCTCAGTCGAGTTATCCGGCACTTCTTCCCATTAGCATGAGTTAAAAGAGAGACTTGTGGTTACATGGACAGTATCGCTTTCGGACAGAAGGTGTCAAGTGGGACACGACTCAGCCAAGTCGTATTTGTATTGGTTGATAATGTGAAACTTGATTGTACACACAGATCTAGTGAAGCAAGGCATCACCCTGTTAGTAGTCTACCCACGCAAACCAGCAAAGTACATGTTGCTCTAATTCATATGGCAATTAATTCAAGAACTTTCATAACAGAAAGCCTATCTCTAATATAATACTTCAACAATAAAGCATATGATCTGAGTAAAGAAAATTGTTAAAGCATGAGTTTAATGTTCAAGGGTAACATAAGAAGAATCAAACGTCATAAGAACTCAAACACAATCAGAAGCAAAAATGAAAGGATTCTAACACTTGATGTAAAATCCCCGAGAAACTACATTAACTGATATTGGCCAAGATAAATCAAAGAGCAAATTTTCTAAGGCAGTAGAAACATATTTGTCAAAAATTCTGTAGTGGAATTTAGAGATGTTCTTTTAACTTGGGTAACAGCAAGGTGCAAAGTGAACTTAAGAGTTGCACTGCAACTCTAGTAATAGTCCAGCCATAGGAGGCTCCCTCAACACCTAGGATTGTTAAACGAACTGAGGCGCTCAAGTGTGGCACGGGCTCATTCGGTTTTGGCTAATTCAAGCCCGTTTGCATTAGAAAATAAACCAATGATAATTAAATTTGAAACTTGTTTGACAATGAAGCTGAGCCTGAGCAATGTGCCGCACAACTTGATACACTTGAGCTTGATTCTTTAGAAATACATTATAGAGATACTTTTCATGGTGACGATGTAACAAACTACCGTCCCTAACTAGATTAGATAAGGCATCTGACTTCCAATTAATAAATCATGGGATCGAGTTTCATTGATCTTGCGCCTTTTTGATTTACTCGAGCACAAGCTCAAATTCAAGCTCATAGTGCAAAAATGAGTCGAGCCAAGAAGAGTCGAGCCTATGAGCTAGAAACCGACCCAAACTAGAGCAAGTATCCAATTTGGCAATCAAGCTCAAGCCTAAGATAGGCAACTCGACCCGAAACTAAGCATACCAAAGCTTGAAAGGGTCGGCTCGGCTCCGCTCACGCCCTCTATCGAGAACCGGTCGTGGTCGGTGCAAGAATTTAACTATCTACCTAGACGAAGCCAATATCAAAGTCCAATGCATGAGCAATGAATTCATGCAATGGTTGATGACATTCACCCTAATTCAATGCATAGTGCTTTCTAAAATTGCTTAATTTCAATAATTGCCAAAATGGGAGTCTAGGCGGATAAAAGTCCACTTTTAAAGATAATGTAGATTTCAAAAGATGCATAATCAGACAAAACCAAAGGTCAACACCTTTACCAGTATCAATTATCAAGTATGCTTTTACAATCAACATGCCCATTCAAAAAGCCTTCAACTTCTATAATCGTCGTGTATATTATCCTTTAGAACTTAAGATGCCTAACAAACAAACCCAACAACGTGGATTGTTAAAATTGCAAACAATCTTACAAGAGCTGGATCTCAATCCATTAAAATTCTAGAACTACAAATTTTTTAACAATTTCGAACAGATTTATCTGTATCGAAACGTAGAATCATAGGATACTATTATTTGTATCACCATTCAGATAACCATGTATAGGATTATATTTTTAGATTATGGTATAGAGGGAAACACTTATCATTCCACTCAAACTTCACATCCTTTCTTGCCAGTCGGGTTAGTGGCATAGCAATTGATGAGTCAGGTTAGTGGCATAGCAATTGATGAGAAGCCCTAAATGAATATGTGGTAATAGCTTGCTAGTTCCAAAAAACTCCTGATGTTGGACACATTACCCGGTTGTTTCCATTTTACCACAACTTTTACTTTCGTAGGGCTAACCCGTATACCATCTCTAGAAATAACATGTCCTAGAATGACCATGTTGTCTATCCAAAACTCAAATTTGCTAAATTTTACAAATAATTATTTCTCTTGTAAAGTTTGCAACACAATCTCCAACTACTGCTCATATTCCTCCTTACTACGAGAATACACCCCGATATCATTAGGCAAATAATAAAAGATGAAGGGATATTCATAGGAGAGATCTTAAATTGAAAAGGTATGGGTTGAGGCATCGAACCCCCATGAAAACAAGAAGAGTCACAATCTTACATTTGGAATAAAGAAAGACCTCAAGGAATCACGCCCATGTTGTTAGGCATTCGTGCCTAAAGGAGGATTGCCAACACTTTGCTTGTAGTACACGCACAATTTTTTCACACATCAACTCACTAGTCATGACAATTCGCATTAGTCATAAAGAGGCTAAAACTTGAGGCTCAGGACAAGCAAGACCGATGAATATGGTCAAAAATTACAACTACACAAAAATCGCTAGATCAGTAGACTCTAATATAGTTGCAACAATGCTATATAAGGCCTTGGCAAAAACCCTAATCAATAGTAACCAAACTACTCTTAACAACCACCTATTGAAAAAATAAATATTACTATTTACCCTATGATATGAGCTCCCTCATGCCCATTGCTAGCATCAACTCTCAAAAGAAACTTACTAAGAGGATGGTTCAGGCTCACGGTATCAGCCATTATCCCAAGGTCACGAATGGATACTTCCCAGCGGGATGCACAGGAACGTCCGACACGGCTAGAAGTATACTAAATAGTGAACTCAATCAGACACGGCCAAAAAACAGCTAGGATATAGCCAGAAATTAAAAAAAAAAAAAAAACTACTAACTATTAAAAGGGGTGTGATTTCTATTTTTTTAATACATTCTTTATTATGTAACTTATATACTATGAATATTAATAAATGTAATGATATTTGATGAAAATGGTGAATATTTCTTTTGATCTATTTCAATTTTAATCAAAAAATAATATTTGCTAGGTCATATTATTAATAGTGTTATAATATATACTTTATTTTTAATTTATTATAACTCTCTTATTATCTTTGTCGTACTCCTGCCTTATATTTTTGAACTTTGTCCGTATCCGTAGTTCCTAGCTAAGATGACATCATCACAGCATATCACACCTAAGTAGGTGATATGCATGGTTTCTCAAGCTATAAAACATGGAGAGCTGCAGATAAGCAACTCAATATCTACTCAAAAGCCCCACACAAATCCATTGATTATCTAAACAAGTCAAGAATTCTTTTTTTTTTTTTTTTTTTGGGAAGAGGATGAGGTTGGAACCACAACCAATTGTGGACGGGAGTAAGGTATTAGATTAACACTTAAAGACAATGCATATTGATGGCAACTTTGATATTTTACATGGTACTTGACTTGGGGGCCTTTTATCCTTTAAGTATACAAGATAATACTCCTATCAGTCATTTCGGGTTCTGCCACACATGTGACATCAACTTGTCGGCAAAATGTTCCCCACTTTCATGAAGTTTCAATACCTTTCTTTTCATAAAACTGTAATCCATGATTTCAGTTGCATACATCATTATATTTAGTCCAATACTAAAGTACTCAAACTGTCAAGCATGAGAACAATCGTGTTCAAGTCTAACAAGCCTCAGAGGACATGTCAACTCTAAAAACAGCATTGTGCAAGTATGCCAAAGACTATCCCCGTCACATTACTACATAAGTGGGATCATATTAGGAAATGAACTTTGACGTAATTCATGATCCAAGCTACATTTGAGTTAACCTGAGCCTGATATGCTCATAACCTTGTCAGACAAGCTTCAGTGACATGCCCTGAAACTGACTCAAATTAGAGCCAAGCAACAGAGGCAAAGAAGACCAGCGAGTCAAGCTTAAGCAATCCAACAATTAGATTGGTCTCCTCATTTCCAAGTCTTACCATATGCTACATATTACCATTATTTTAGTTAAAATGGCGAATTACGTTACGCCCCATTGGTTGTTGTGCAGGAGAACCATCCCAACAACATTCCATAGCTACAACACAAAGGATGCACTCCATTACAGGTAAACCACATGCACTGCTTAAGCTAAGACTCTTTAGCTAGATTCGAACTTAGAGCTTCAAAAATTGACACTGAAGTCTTCCCATCTGAGCTAGCCTGATGGTTAAGCACAGACCAAAACTGAACTGAGTACAGTTTTCAATTTAAATGCACAATACTCAACTCCACTCAATGAAACTTTGTTCTGGGGTCAGTTAAATGCAGAATCTAAAACTAAGTACGCCTCTGATTATATTTGCAAATGGAAATTTTAATTTCAGAAATCAAGAAAATAAAAAGGGGCAATAGATTCCGTAGAAGTTGAATTATTCTTCAAACAGTTACATAGAGTCATACATAGAAAGCCATACCAATGCAAATATGACAGAATTAATAGACATACAAAAGCAGGGCAGCAACAAATCGTAATGAAAGCGACATACTTTTGGACAAAGCAACCTGTAGTATTGCCCTGGCTCACAGGAACCACTACCAATTCCAATATCCTCCAATTTCTGCTTCAATACGCTTATCTGCAAAGAATCAAGCCTTTTCTCTTCTGGGTTCACTTCAAAAACTACAGAGACCAAACAACAGCCCACATAATCTTTTATACAATGTATATACACAAATACGACTCAGAAACTAAAGAAAATAATATAACAATCACCATATAAGACTTTACAAGGTTTATATATATATATATAAACTAATTCTTGCATAACTACATATATATAGGGGGGTGTATGCATGTCTATATGTATCAATTGATTTATACCGTCATGGGTTTAAAAGGAAATACCTGGTCTAGGGACACTGGCCTGGGGTCTATAAGAAAACCCACAAGTTCTTGCAGAAGAAAAGAAAATTGGGGAAATGGGTTTTGTATGGAAAGTAGAGAAAATAAGTCTATAGGTGTGAAAGGGGTGTGTTCCTGAAGAAAGGGCTACCGGAGGCACTGCTTTTGAATTAAGGAGGAAGTGTTTGGAACCCATAAGAATGTTGGCGGAGGTTAAGAGTTTGTGTGTCGGACTTCGATGAGAAAGCAGCATTTCTGATGAGTTTAGGGCATGTCGGAGAGCTTTCGTCGGCAAGAACTGTAGAGTTGAGGGTTAAAGTGGTCTGTGTGTCTCTCTCGATTGCAACAATTCAGTGGCAAAACCAAAGAGAATGCGAATGAGGCGCGGTATGTTTCTCTCTGGAGAAAATTTTGTACGGCCAATAAACAATTGTCAGAAAAATAACTTAAGGACACATAAATTATATATTTTTTTTTAAATCTCCTAAAATGATAGATAACAGTTATTTATTAGATATTTATGATTTTTTATTGGTGATATAGATCTCATAGAGTACGCCACTGTCATGTAGTGTGTTACTTGACCCAGGTCTGAATTCAAGGAAATTTTTCAATTTTGTCCATTTTGATCTTCCAAGTTTCATGGCATTTAGCAGTCCAAGCAATATGTGTGCTGCAAGTGAAAAATTCTAAAGAAATGAATAAAAAAAATAAAAATACTATTCAAGAACAAACTCAATACCAAATATCCAATTTATATTAAAGGCACAAATAAAAACCATAAATCAACACTAAAGGGTTAAACCTCATGATTACACGTGACATGGCATTAAATGTGCTCACATGATGTTGATAAGACAAGGCACGTGATGAAAAATCGTTTATTTAGTTTTTTAACCAAGTCGAGCTAATTAGAGGTTCGACAATGACATAAAAAATTTGGTTCTCTTCATGACTCAACTCATCAGTTTAGCTAAGCAAGGAAGGAGCTCGGCTTTGTACCAAGCCGAATCCATTCAAGTGTTCAACAAGGCAATTGAAGAAATTGGTTTGTGCCAAACCAAGACCCTTAATTTGTTTGGCAAATATTAAGTGTGCTCGGCATTTAATATGTCCTAGCTGTTTTAAATAATAAACAGAGGAATAAAGATTCGCCTATAACTTAAGCAATCGGATAAGCGAATCAAAGAATTTGAAGATATCAGGGAAAAATAATAGAGAAATATCAGCAGCTTCTCAAACCGAATCACTGAATTGGAGGAAAGTGTATCACCTTGAATTAAGAATCACGGAAACCCTAAGGGGATGACCATTTATAAAAAGAAAAATGAGTCAACAAGAAAGGTACGCTGAACCCTCTTTGTCTTCTTCCATTCGTTTGAATACCTTTACTGACTTAAGCATCAGAGTGCCTTCGATCGAAACACTTTGATCTTGGATAGTTTGTTCGTTGTGTAGATAAAGGAAGATTGAGAGATCAAGTTCAGAAGCATATCAATTTTTCAATTCCAGTAGGAGGTATTCTAGATTTTTTGCCTCTTACAAACACTCTCTCAAAATATCCAAAAAATAAATAAATTAATTAATTAATTAAAGGTGTAACCTTTGATAAACCAAGCAAAAGAATTAATATCGATAAAAAGATTACATATTTTTTAAGAGACAAAAATAATATTTTTAGGGAAATTAAAAATAAAATTTTACATCTATATCAACAAATTAGTGTCACAAACAAAAACAGAATCATATGAAATAAAATTACATCTAGTATTTTGCATAAAGAAAATAAAACATATTGAAAGGAGTGAATAACAGTATCATGTCATACCCCAAATTATATATTGGCAAACTACATTGGTATTTAGAAATAAAATAAAATAAAAACCAATTCCAAAAAAAAAATTCAATTGTAACGATATACTTTAAATAATTGACTTCACTGTGTGAAACCTCAATCACCTCTACAAATATTTTGTCCATTTCATGAATACATAAATATATACACTCCATCAATAGAAAGCACCGAAATATAAGATGTGATGGTATGTATAAAAGTTAATCGTTAACAAATTAATTAGAGTGTCAATTATAATTTTATATAACTAAGTTTTAGCTTTATAAATTTTAAATAAACAAATGAACCTTAAATATGGATTTTTTGTGTAAAAACAAGTCAAATAACTCTAATATTAATTAGACTTAATAAATATTCAAAATATTTGAAAGGTGTAAAGTATATAAAAATATGTCACATAAATTTATATAATAAAATATAAAGGGTTTCAAAATTTTAAACTTATAAAATCATTCGAACGTTCCAGATCATTTTAAAATTATTAATCTGACGATCTTAATTGATTGATTTCTAAAAAATATTTCTTATTAGGTTAAGAATTTCGTTCCATTTTCATCGGTAGAGTCGCATGTCACTCTACTCTACCCCCTATCTCTCTCTCTCACATACGGTTGAGACTAGAGTCCTATCTCTCTCACACTCTACACAACCACTATCACCACCGCACAGAGGCAATAAAAGCAACTCCAACGGGAGTTGCCATCAGAGGTGTTAGCCCCATAACCACTAAAATGACACCCCAACTGCAAAAATTGGGACTCCAACAGAGGTAGCAAAATGGCATCTAGAGTTTTGGGGTGATATATTTGGCAACTTTGGAGAGAGAATAGAGCGGTTGCAACATAGCCGTTGGTGGCTACTGTTCCTCAACGGCTATATTCCACCCAAAATTTGTATAAAAACACAGAGAAAGGAAAGGGGAAGGAAAAATTTGTCTGAAATCGATTTGTGTACTGCTTCCATAAAATAGCTCCCTGAATCCTTGCCTTTGATATCAAAAACACTAGCTTCCCTAACCCTTGCTGTTGGTGTGCTCTCATAGCCCGTTGCCGTTGTCTGGTCTGGTAAGGGGAAGAGGAAGAAGGGTTCTAGTCTGGTAAGGGGAAAGGGAAGAAGACGATAGAAGGAGAAGGGGGTAGGAACCGTTTTATTTAGGAGAAAGGGGATGAGTTGTAATTTATAATTACATCTGACCCTCTATTCTTGTTTTAATTTATAAATTCTAGTTTTAATTTATAATTTATAATTACATTTGCCCCCATGTTCTTGTTTTATTTTTTAATTTATAATTTATAATTACATCTGCCCCCTATTCTTGTTTTAATTTATAATTATATATGCCCCTATTGTTGTTTTAATTTATAAGTTCTTGTTTTAATTTATAATTTATAATTTTTTTTATAATTTATGGAAGATTTATTTGTTTTAATTAAGGGTAATTTTTTTAATTGATTATTTTATGCTCATTCTTTAAATTGATTATAATTTTTTTTTTGTAGATGGCTTCACAATTTGACGGTTCTTTCACTGATTTGCTTATGAACGACACCGATTTATATGATGATGTTATGCAGACCAATCCCACAGTATTGGCGTCTGTACAAAATGAAGTCATTCCAAGAGTGAGAAAATCGCAAAGGACAAAGAACTTCTCCGTAAAAGAAGATAAATTAATTGTGTATGCGTGGCTTAACACGAGTAAAAATGCAATTGCTGGGAATGAACAACAAGGTGGTACTTTTTGGCAAAGAATATTGCAATACTTAGAACTTCATGGAGGCAATTAAGAAGAGCGTTTGCAATCTTCTATTAAAAGTCGTTGGATTAATATAAATGCAAAATGCGGCAAATTTGTCGATTTTTATAGTCAATTTGAAAGACTGCGACAAAGTGGACACATCGAATAAAATAATGTAATGATTAAACTTTTAATTTAGACACTACTATGATTTGATATTTGAACTATTGACTGAATAATTTCATATGTTTTTCAAGTTGATGACACAAAAAAAATGTTTGCTAAGATTATTGGAAAACTATTTCAATACGAGCATTATTGGAATATATTGAAAATAGAGCAGAAATGGACTGATAATCTTACTAGCAATAAGAGAGCAAAAACTCATGAGACTAGTAGTCCTGCTGAATCAACTCATGTTGAATCTTGCTATTCAACTTCATATTTAGAGGATGACACTGAACCCTCGTCCACTCTCAACCTCGATAGGTCATTGGGTAGAAAGGCTTCAAAAAAATAACTTAAAAACAAAGAGAAACAAATTGGTGTTGAAGCATCACTAGATCATCACCACTGGAACGAAAGAATGGAAGTGGAACGACAAAAAGTTGAGCGACACGACAAAATTTATGCTCAACAGGAGATAACATTAGAGCAACATCGTAGACAGTTAGAAATTGAAGAAAGACAGGTGCAAGAAATTGAAAGACAGAATGAAATGCAGAATGAAATGAAAATCATGGAAACTGACACTACTGGCATGGACCCAATTTCTGCAGCATATTAGAATAACCTGAAGATAAAGATTATGAAAAAACGGGGCTTTAATTTTTAGTCATTATTTATTATGTTGCTATTATTTTTAAATTTGTAGTCATTATTTATTATGTTGCTATTATTTATGAAAAACTATGTATTGAAAATACAACTTAAAATTGTTTTTCTTGCCGACTGTTGTGCTTTAGCAAAGTGTTTTTTCTTCAAATCTTGTGGACAGGGAATTGTTTTTACAAATGTTGACCAGTTTGGATAAATACCATCAGCTATATAATATCTCATTGTATACTCATGACCATTAATTATATAGTTGACTGGAGGAGCATGACCATTTGCTAATAATACAAAAATAGGGGACCTATATAGAAAATTTATGTTATTCAGCGAACCAGAAAGCCCAAAGAATGCATGTCATATCCAAAGATCTTGAGAAGCCACAACTTATAAAACGATTGTTGGTTCATGACAATGACCAATATACATACCTTGCCACGCGGTAGGACAATTTTTTCATTTCCAATGCATACAATCAATACTCCCTAACATTTCGGGAAAAACTACGTTGTTCCCTCGTCTATAACAATCGAGCAATATCGATATTGTTTGGTGACCTCGGGTAATGGTCGTCAAACACTGCAATAACAGCTTTCACAAACCTTCTCAGACTCTATATGACAGTGCTTTCTCTAATTCTGATGTATTCATCCATAGAATCTGTCGGTGTTCCGTAAGCAAGAATTCTATAAGCAACTATTATCTTTTGAAGGGATAACAAACCGAGAACTCCAACGACATCTGTCGTTTGGATGAAGTATGGATCGTGTTATTCAACCTCATTTACAATTCGGAGAAAATGAGGACAACTCATTCGGAACCTCCTTCA